CATTCTCATCTCTGAACTATCTATGACTTGACTACTTATGGGTACCAAGAAACCATTACATTATCTAGAATATAACCTTATTATGCCTTTAAAAAGTGCATGTGTGAAATGTTGGTTTTGATGTAAACCTCATAATTTAAAATTTTAGGTTACCATTTTCCAAATCACCTAAATATAATATATTGATCCAGTATAGAAAGTTAAATTAATGTTAGAAAAGAAGATTCATCTTTTCAGGCTTGCTTCACATTTATGTCTTTAGCTTTACAGATGAATTCAATCTAAACAATCTTACTGCAGCATTATATTAATTAGGCAGTTTTCCAAAGATGGAAAACATCATACTAATCTAGTTGTGATGTTTTGAGGGTTCATAATTTTATTTTGTTTTTTTTGTTTTGGTACCGGGGATCGAACTTGGGTCCTTGTGCTTGCGCAGCACATCCCTGGCATTTGTGGGACAGGTGTGGTGCCCCTGGCTTCCCTGGGAGGGCAGCTGTGTGCTTGCAAGGCCTGGGTCTCAGGAGAACAGGGCAGGGAACAGTGTGGCCTCTCAATGTTCATTTGGGGGAGTAGCTCATAGTCCAGGGCAGGAGGGACCCAACAAGCCATACCCAACACCCAGCACCTGGCACCCAGAGCCCGGCTGAGGACCAGTCCAGCTCCTCAGCAAGCCAGGATGGGCTTTCAAAGTGGGTGTCCAGGCTGAGGGGTCCAGGAAGCTTCTAGGGTGTGTCTCAGTTGCAGAAGACAATTTGAGAATCGGGGCAAAGGCAGAATAAAGGCACACACTGAATTTGGGTCCCAGCAGGTCCCTGACAGCTGTTACAGGCTCTTGGCCCCATCCTTTAGGTGGGTGACAGGGACAGGAAGAGAACTAGCTGATAAGCACCCAGGTGAGTGGGCCAGGCTCTGGCTTCCCCCAGGTGCTGGGCCTCAGGGTTTGGCTGCTTATCTCTGAGGGAGGGGTCCCTTGGTCAAGCTTCGCTCTGTATAACTCTTAGGAAGACAGAAGCTATCACCTCCTAGACCAGAGAAAGTTGCCCTCCAACTAGAGAAACCCATCTAGGCCAAAGCCTCCCCAACCCCCCAGGGTTCACAGAAGCAACTGCCCAGGTAAACTGAGGCAGCAGACAGCCAGGCAAGAGCAAGTAATCAAGAGTTGGACAAATAAGCCATTGCATGAAAAGTAGGAGCCACAACAAGTAGGTGGTGGTGGATGGATGGACAGACACACAATGGAGAGGTGGCAAGGGGCATCACAGCATGAGCAGGCATCCCAGTGGGAGAGGAGCTAGGGGAGGGAGCAGTAGGGCTCAGGAGTCCAGAGATCAACAAGCAGATGGGCGGAGCCAGCTCCCAAAGCTGACTGGGAGATGGACAAAACTAGATTTGAAATAAAATTCATTTTATAGAACCACTGTAGGTTTACAGAAAAGTTGCAAACATGGTAGAGTTCCCATAGATCCCATAGCAGTTTCCCCTACTACCAACTGTGAGGGTAGAAAGGACAAGCAAGCTGTCTCCCCTGCTAAACACAGAACACTGGCTGCAGCTGTGACCTAATGTCAGGAACTGGCCTACACACCGAGCCAGGATTCACTTCTGCAGTGGATGCCAGCTGGGGTCCCCTAACTCAACTCAGCTTTGACACTGTCTACCTGGAGATGGCATCAGATCCAGGAGGTTCTCAGTCCCCAAGACTGCCAGCCTTTCGCCAGGTGTCAACTGCTGTCCTAGATTGTCACTTGCACTTCTAACCTACAAATGATACATTGGGGCTCCTATGACCCCCTCCTTGGGTTCAATTAAGTTTCTAAGGGTGGAGCACAGAGCTCAGGGCCACCCTTAGGTTTACTGGTTTATTACAGAGGACATTACAAGGACCAGAAGAAAAAACACCCAGGGTGAGGCACCTGGGAAGGGGTGCAGAGCCTCCATGCCCTCTCTAGACCCACTACCCTCCAGCAACTCCCAGGGTTCAGAAGTCTGGAAGCTTCCTGAACCCTGTCCTTTGGAAAATTCATAACAGAAACATGGCATTAATGAACTTAACCTTCGGCCACTCTCCCTCCCTGCAGGTTGAGGGATGGGGCTGAGAATCCCACCCTCCGATCCTGACTTGGTCTTTCCTGTCACCAGCCTCATCCTGAAGCCACTTAGGTCCCCAGCCACCAGCCAATCATTTACACAGAGAAGACACTCTTGCAACTCTGGAGATTTCCAAAGGTTTTCAAAGCTGTGGACTAGGAAACTAAACACAGTTTCACAACATTACAGATACAATATCACAGCCACATCTTATGTTGATGTGAGCAGTTGTCACAGCTTAACAATTCATATTGATACATGGACAGTTTATTGCTCTCTTTGATTTGATAGCCTGGATATTTTTGAGGGTACACTCTGGGGGTCCCAGAGCTGGGACCTGTCTGGTGTTTTTCTCAGGGTTAGACTGGGGCTTCACATCACCTCTAGCCATGGGTGCCCACTGTCACAATTCCTCACTGTGACATGGCCTTGATATTCTAGCTGGGTATGTGTGTGACAGCTCCACTGTACAGTGACTATGTGCCCTTTTGAAGAAAGAATTTACTATGCACAGCCATGCATAAGGCACGGAGAGTTACACCTCACCAACTTGAGAGTGGAGTATTTACATCCTTTATTTGGAATTCTTCTGCATGTCAAGTTTGCCTTTTCTTCCTCACTAATTTAAATATTCAATCAGTTATTTATATTGGTATGAATTCACAGAGGTTTTTAATGTGGTAGATTATAATCTAATACTATGCTATTTTTATTGTTGTTCCTCAAAATTTTTCCAGCTTTGGCCACAGGATCTGTTTTGGTTGGCTCATGTTACAAAACTATTTTTAATTAATCAGTTAACTATTAGGTGAAGGAATGCCAATACACACCCAGTCTGCATCTTGAACAGAAAGGCAGAAGGAGGACAAGCCACTTACAATGGTTTCTGACCCTGGACAGAATCCATGGGCAGATAGGAGTGTGTGTGGGGGTGTCTGTCCCCTGGGCCAGCTCCATGGGGCTCAACCTGCTGCTTTGAAGCCCCTTCCTGGATCCCATGGGCCAGTGCTACCCTCTATGTCAAGTGGGCAGCCCCCAGGGTGCCCAGAGAAGTTGGGGAGGTGGAAAATGAGCAACAGCTTCCCTCAACCTGCCCCTTCCTCTTGCAGGGCCTTGGAGGGCGGGAGGGGGCGGTTCCCACCAGAACAAAAGTGGTGGCCCTTGCAACACACCAGCTCTCTGGCCCTGCTCTGGGATCCAGAGAAGAGAACTGTGGTCAGACCTGTGTTCAAGAGGACCTAACCTGGTGTTCTGGTCACTTTAAGAAGACACAGTGAGGCCACCAGTGCAGGGTGCCTGGTGCCACTCAAAGCTCTCCACATTCAGTCCAGAGGCTCTGCTGTGTCCAGGCTACTTCCTGGAGGTTGCCTTTCTCAATGCAGCTAGAGGCAGACAGTTCCAGGAATGAGCAAGACACAGCAGGGATAGCTTATCTCCACTGGAGACAAAGCTGAGTGGGCTGGCCCTGCACAGTCCCTAGGCCTCACACACTGCAGACCTTCCTTTTGCATCTGGACCCCTGCCTGGGCCATGCCTCCCCATAGAGCCATGTGGTGAAGGTTTCAAGGGATGAGAGCTGTAGAGGGGCTACTTAGGGGACTGGGAAGGGTGAGAGGTCCCACTGCCCCTCTTCTTAGGCAAAGGGAAGGAAGAAGGGGCCACAGCAATGCTCTACAGTGACAGTCTTCCCAAGCTGATGACCAGCCTGGTCCATTCTCCCAAAAGCAATGCCAACGGCTGGTGGGAACTGCTGGCCAGCACAGAACCCTGTTCTTCTGGCTTCTAGAAGGCTGAGGGGTCACCATACTCACAGCTCTCTGTGCCTCCAGGTCCCATCATGTCCAGCACCCCACATAAATAGATATGGAAAAAGAGCAGAGCATAGGGTAGCCCACCAACTAGGGGTCGGCACTTAATGGTTTGAACCAACCCAGATTCAGTCCTACTGTGCTTTCACATTGGGTTCACCTTGGCCCCTAAAGGTCCACTTGGTGTGACCCGCATGGTTTGGGTTTGCCAGGCTGCCCTTATATATTGTTTACACCACTTGGTAACAAAGGAGTCCCACGTGGCATGAGTGAAGACCCAGCCCTCCCACAAGGTCCCATGATGCTCTGCTTAGACTCCCCACTGGTGCCTTGAAGACACTGAAAACCAAATCACCTTTTCAAAAGTATAGCTGTCAGGCTGGGAATGGTGGCACAAGTCTGTAATCCCAACACTCAGGAGGGTGAGGCAGGAGGATCACCACAAATTCAAGGCCAGCCAGGGGTATATAGTGAGTTCAAGGCCAGCCTAAATTACATAGCAAGACCTTGTCTCAAAAAACAAAACAAAAGTGTAGCTGTCACAGAACACTTCAAACGGTACTCCTTATAGACCTTTACTAATGGTATCAGATTGGGCCCTGTCTCCCAAACTCCTCCAAGGATTACTCCCCAGCAGGGCTTCTAGGTGCAGTCCCCCACCCCCACTTAAACATCCCACTGCAGGGAGCTCACCCCTCCCCAGGCACCCCATCTTGCCTTGTTGTCCCATGTGCTGGCCCTTGCCTGGCCACAGCAGAAACAAAGCCACACCCACCAGGGAGGCCTCCTATATCAGCAAATGCCCTGGTGTCTTGGGCCAGGCTGCGGGCAGCAGAAATGCAGGAGCTGGCCCCAGACTCACTGGCCCTCCCCTTCCCGCCTGCCCTTCTTCCGGGGCACCCAGGCACTCTGTTGCAGGGGTTGTGTTGACAGATGGGTGGACACAGCCTCCCTCTGGGCGGGCAACTGTGGTCAGAGGCCCCCACCCAGCAGGAAACCGCAGTAGTGGAGGAGAAGAGACGAAAAGGCAGGGGAGGGGAGGGGAAGGGAGGGGCAGAGAGGGGAGGGGCAGAGAGGAGAGGAGAGGAGAGGAGAGGAGAGGAGAGGAGAGGAGAGGAGAGGAGAGGAGAGGAGTCCACCATGAGGCCTGGGAGCCGGGTCAGGGCTGCCAAATGCCAGATGCTGGCCACCAGCTTCTTCGTCTTGGTAACAAGCAGGATGGGCAGGAGGGTGGGGGTAAGGGTCATGCCTCCACTTGCACACAACAGTCCTCCTGCCCCAACCTGCCCTGCAGACTTGGTCCGGGGGCTGTGTACATGCGGACAGGTAGGCAGGAAGCCTATTGGCGGTGCCCAACCTTCCAAGCAGCAATTCAGGGCCTGGGTCCTTGGATGGAGGTGACCTAAGTGGAGAGGAGGTTGACAGGGAAGGGGTACTGGCTGCTGGGGCTCCAGGGCTCTCAAGTCTCTTTCTGCCCTAGAGGACACTCTTACTGGGCTGGGGAAGGTCCAGGGCTGCAGGGCGCTGCAGGCAGATATATGTAAGGTTCTGAGTCCCTGAGGGAACTGGGCAATGGCTATATGTATACAACTGCATGTCAATTTGTGTGTGTGTATGTTGTGTGTGTGTGGGAGGGATGTGTCTGGGGCAAAGACTTCACTGAGAACACCCCACAGAAATACCCAGAACTCCCTGCAGCTGGCCTGTTTCTTTTGAGACCAGGACCCTGGAGTAGGCCTGACTCATGGGCCCTGGAATGGGCCTGACAGATCCTGCCTTTGGTGGGCAGGGAGGCTCTGTGATGGTGCCCACACTCTGGCCTGCCCCACCCACAGCTGCTGGGCTTCTCTGTGGCCACCATGGAAGTTCTCACTTACTTCGGAGACCACCACTTTGCCATCATCAGCCAGGTGTCCTTGGAGAGGAACCCATATGACGCTGTACACCGCTGGGGTAAGTGTGGTCAGGGCTGGGCAGAGCAGAGGTGGCTGGAGCAGGTCTGGACTGGGCATCAGGTCCCAGATACTGGGCTCTAGGTGACCAGAGGAGCTGGCTGGGAAGAACCAGGGACTCCAGGCAGGGAAAGGCAGCCCTGGCATCCTGGCCCCACTGATCAGAGGCTGGGTCTGGATGATGGCTGGTGTTCCGGCCCTAGGCTGGCAGTCCCCTGGGAGCATGGGACAGCATAGTTGTTCCAGTCACATCAGATCCAAGATTTGTGCTTTCAGAATTTGACTGTGACAAGGGCTATCTGGACCAGGGCCTGTGGGACTCAGCAGTGGAATACAACGTTCAGAGGGCAGAGAATGGCAAGAAAAGGCCAAAGCCTGCCTAGTGGCCCCTTCCAGAGAGCAAGGAAGGCTACTTTAATGAGAGGACATCTCAGGCAGAAGCACCCCAGGAAGGTGGCTGCCCACTAGGCAAGGGTAGGGGAAACTGAGTGTGGGTCTGGTGGGCCCAGCCCCCAGCCTCCTGTCTTCCAAAGCTCTGAGCCTCCCCACAGCAGGAAGCCTGAGGCCTGGGCCTGGTCTGATAAGGTCACAGCCCCACAAGCCACCTGTCATGAGGGCATGAGGATGCGGCTTGAAAATAATCCCCAGGCAGGGAAGGCAGCATGAAAAATGGCGGAGTGGGGGGAGCAGGCCCACTTTACTCTTGCTTCCACCCTCCTTCCCTTGGAAGGAAAGGGGTTGTTGGGCACTGGAAGGCACATCCCTGTTTAAGGGGAAAGGAGGCCCATTCAGAGCTGCCCCAGAAGGACAGCACCCATGACCCCCAAGATGGACTTCAGGTGCAGGCTCTGTGCATCAGGTCCTGTCCCAGCACCCCAGCTCTCTCCCCCTCTCTTCCTACCCAGCCTTCTATGTGGGGATCAGCCTGGCAGGCCTGCTGATCCTGGGGGCCTCCCTGAGCACCACAGCTGCCGTGAAGGAGGCCCAGGGCCTCATGGCTGGGGTGAGTTCTCTCAAATCCTTGACCTTCCACTCCCCTAGGTCCCTCCACCTGGGACAGTCGGGACCCCCTACCAGGGCCATTCCGGCCCTCCATGTGGGCCCTACTTCACCCCATCTTCCTTACACCTAGTAATGATCTTACAGGAGCCCTGAAAAGCAGAGCAGGCCCTCCCAGCCATGAGAGCCACCCCTAAAGACTCTGGGGACACCCAGTTCAGTTATCCAGCAGTCTCTGGGGACACGGCTTGGGTGAGGTTCACTTCCCTTTGGGAGGAGACCAGGGAGGTTCAGGGAAGCAGCCTCTGTGGAGCCCTCCAACCCTGATCCCCTTTCCAACTACTGGAGGGCTCTCCTGCATCCCAAGGTTTCATAGTCCCTAGACCTCAACCCCATAGTAGTGGCTCTATGGAGCCTGCTACAGTACCTGTTCCTCTGTGTGGGCCTCCAGCTTGGTCTCCACCGGCCCCACTGGTCACCCCACAGCCCCCAGCCCTTCCAACCTTGCCTCCCCATGGCCACCCTTCTTGCCCCTGCCCCACCAGGCCCCTTCCTTTCACCTGAGCTGGGCAGCTCCTCTCTGGTTCTCTAGGCTCCCACCTATTCCTCCACTCCAGCTACAACATCTCCCTTTCCCACCTCCAGCCCTCTGCCCCCAAAGATCACTGCCCCTGCATGCTGGCCTACCCCACCCTGCCCTGTGAGTGGTTTATGAGGTCAGAGACCCTTGGGAACCTGCACTGGGAGCTTTACTTCCTGGGTGCGACTAAGACCGAGGCCTGTGGGGTTCGGCTTTTGGGCTGAGAGGGAGACCTCAGTGAGAGTGTGACAGGGCTGGTGGACTGCGCCCTTAGAGGGTATGTGCTCCGCGGAAGGACACATGGACAAAGACAGGGCTGAAAGCCTGCTTGCCAGGCCTAGAGTCTGGACATGTCCCAGAGGTAGGCTGCAGCATTAGCCACCAGGGGGCACTGGAGAGCCGGGCTTGAGACCACAGGACAGAAAACAGAAGACCACATCAGGCCTGTGCAGCTCAGCCATGCACAGGACTTCCCCAGGCCTGTGCTCAGCATTTGATCTGTGAGCAAGGGCATCAGGGAGCACCTGAGATTTCAATTCTGCATCTCCAGCCAGATTCAGGGCTTAGGTGACCATTATGTGGGTTCACTTGTAGGAAAAGCCTGGAATCCCCCAGCCAGATGTTCAGGGTCAGCTCCCAAGGCTACTCCAAGCCATTATGGGCTCCCAACTCCCACCTGAGTCCCTGCACTCTGCCCGAGTCTCCTGCACTGGGAGATCACCCAGACACCTGCTCCACTGAGCTGCATGGGTGTATACCTGTGTACATGTGCATGTATGTGCATACACATGTGCATGTGCCTGTGTGTGTCTGCACACATACCTTTGTTGCTTGCCTTCACATGCCCTAACTGCGGTTTAAGTGTGGCTGTCTCCATGTTGCATCTGGCGTGTCTGCATGTGTAAGCACATGTGAAGGGGGCTGGGGCATGGGGAGAAGGGAGTGGAAAAATTTTTTCCGTCTTGCCTGGTGCCCAGCTGTCCTCTTCCTGCCCCTTCCTGCTCCCTCCTACTGCCTCCAGCACAGGAAATGACAGGGAGAGCTGGCCCAGGACAGCTAAGCTGGCCATAGCAGCCCAGGAAACTGATTCCAATTGTCCATGGATTTATTTCCTTATGTTCATTTAAGATGAGGAGAAAGAAAATGCCCGTGGTTTCCCTTACAGCACCCTCCGCACTGTGGAGGCCTTGGTGAGGCTGGGTGGGCCTGTCCACTGCCCAGAACCCTCAATGGGGGTGGGGTGGGGGTTGATGCTCTTTCTCCTAAGGAATGAAATGGTTTTTGGAAAATGCTGGTCTTCTGAGCTGGCTCATGGCCTCAAGCCTGGGAGGCAGCAGTGAGCGATGGTTTCCAGATGGGGATCATGGCCTGAGGGGGGAGCAAGGTAGAGGAGGAAAAGAGAAGGGGCGAGGAAGACAAAGAAGAGAAAGAAAAGAGAGGAAACGGAGGAAGGAGGCAAGGCAGAAAGAGAGGGAGGAAGAGGGGGAAGAGGAGGAAAGGGAAGAGAGAAGGAAGAGGAGCAAGATGGGAAGGAGAGAAAGAATAAGAGGAAAGAAAGAGAGGAGGATTGGAAGGAAGGAGCAGGCAGCTCCAGGGCTATCCCCTAAACAAGTCTTTCAGGCTCTGGGGCAAACTACAGGGACCATGGGGAGGAAGCCCCTACTGCAGAGCTGTGCCGTGTTTGGGGCTGGTGGGATGGTGGCAGCTCTTTCTGTGGGTCCCTGTACATCCACAAGTGTCTCCATCCACCTGTCCTCCATTCTCCTGGGTGTTCTCTTGAGTGGGACTTTTGGCTGGGAAAGCCTGGCCATAGCCACCCCAGGGTACCGACAGTCCGATTAGCACATGTCAACCAACCCACACACTGGTGATATCGAGGGGAGGAGAGGGGGCTGATGTAGAAGGCTAGACAGTCACGTGAGGGGCACCATGCACCCAGTGGGCCTGTGTAGGCAGTGCCTGGATCCATGATCTGGGGACCCAGGAGATGGGGGAGACCCAGATCCTAGGCAACCAGATGGCAGGAGGACGGAACCCAGGATTCTTAGATGGGATGACCCTCTGAAACTGTCCACAAAAGCATGGGGGGAGGACATGTGACAATGTGCATTTTCAGAGGAAGAGTCTGTAATGTCCATCAGTTTCTACAAAGGGGAGTCTCAAAAGTCTAGACTCGGACTAGAGAAAGAAAGGCAGAGTGAGGAGTGGTGAATGGGAAGTGAACCCCTAGAAGTCTCCCTCAACACCGGGGCCACACATGCAGCAGTGTGGAGGAAGGGTAGAGAGCTCAACCAGACAGGGCATAAGAGTGGGGGTTACAGCTCTACCTTCTTCTGCTCAGAACACTGGCTGCCCAGGGCCACGGGCCGTGGTCTTGGGTGAGCTCAGGTATAGGTGTTGAAGTCTCCCTAGAGTCATATCTCAGAAAACAAAGAACCTACACAATGCCCCCTATGTGGGAGGCAGCCAACTCCCTACCTTAAAGAGGGAAGTTTCTTCTCCCAGGCATAGGAAATTGATGACATCTTTTTTTTTTTTTTTTTTTTGGTACCGGGGATTGAACTCGGGTCCTTGCACTTGCGCAGCAGACAGCGAAACCACTGAGCTAAATCCCCGGCCCTCCCAGGCATAGGAATATGCTGCCCCACCCTCCTAGATCAGCTATGGTGGGCAGAGAAGCCGTGCCCAGGATGCCCTGTGTTCTAGGCCAGGTGTTGTGATACTGTGGTTGATGCCCTCAAGAGCCAGACAAAAAAAATAAGAAGAATTCCCAGAAAGGGCCAGAAGGCATGGGAAAGGGGCCAGCCACCCAAGGTCTCCTTGCCACCCAAGGTCTCCCATCGATCAGTGGGGAGCAGGGCTGAAACCCACACTTCACCCAAACCCCAATGGTAGTGTGGCCTTTCTTGTGCATTGCTCACGCACCCATGGAACACTTACCTGGCGTCTGTGACCCAGCCTCCCTCCATCCCCAGGGCTTCCTGTGCTTCGTCATGGTGTTCTGTGCCCTACTGCAGGTGGCCTATTGGCGGTTCCGAAACCCCACCCAGGTGAGTGCCAGGGTCCCCAGCAAGGAGCAAAGGCTAGGGAGGCCCCTCTGGGTGTGTGCATGTGCATGGTGGAGGGAGCACGAGACAAGGGCAGGGCAGGCAGTGCAGAGACCAAAGGGCTGGGGTCCTCTCCTTAGCAGCTCCCTGGAGAGAGAACCGAAGCCCAGCTGTGGCCCCCTCTTTTCTCTGAGGCTCTTTCAGCCTACCCTCTCCACTGGAAGATTCTCCTGGGAGCTCAGAGAGGCAGAAGGTAGGCCCTTCTTGGGAGAGACTGGAAGGGTAGAGTGTTCTAGAAAATGTGCAAAGTAAAACTGCCATCCTGACTCAGACCTGGGTGATGTGGCTCTGGTTCATTCATGAGATGGAGTCCTTCCTTCCTAGATATTGACTTGCCTGGATGTGGGGCTGGCCCAATGGTTCCCAGGAGAAGGGTCCTAAGGTTCCTTCCTCAAAGGCCAGTGGGTTGGAGAGGAAAGAAGGTCTCCCTGATCCCCAGCAGTGAAGACACTGTGTGTGCAGAACTCAGCCCAGACTAGGAAAAAGGCTAGGGCAGCCCTGAAAGCCTCAGGACCAGAAGAAAAGCCCAGCTGGTACTAGGAGCCTGTATCCTCAATGTATTAAGCATCCAGTTGCCCAGGCATCACCCCCAAATGCAGCAGTGGCCACACAAGACATAGGCTCCAGAGGGTGGCTGTGCAGGTAACTGGCTTGCCTTTCCTGCAAACTCAAGGTGTGTGACTTCATGCTGACAGTGGCCACACTGGCAGGCCTTGAGCAGGTGGGCCACTCCCACGGTGTGCAGATGGAGGGATTCAGGCCTTTTCAGGTCACCTTGGCAGTGCTAGGGGCTACAGGCTCTTTGCCCAGCATGGCTGCCTCTTCTCCCCTTTCTGCCCAAGGATCTCCCCAAAGTGCTACCCCACAACCCGCATCAAGCCTGAAAGGGAAAATGCCATTTCCTCCAGCCCAGAAGGATCTGGAAGGGGGTCCAGCACTCAGCCACTGTGGTTTGGGGGAGGGGCATTCAGCAGTCCCACCAGGAACAAGGCAGGCCAGGCCAGCATTTTGGCATTACATTTCTTGACCACTGAGGGGTGGTCCGGCGGGTTGGAGGTCTGGGTCACAGCGTGGGTGGCCTCTTTCAAGACAGCTGCCAGGTACTCTGGGGCCTGCCTGGGGCCTCTGCAGCCCGTGCACCCAAGCTCTGAAGCTATGTGTTTATACATTGAACCTGGGATTCATGGTTCTGGAAGGAAGGGGGCCATGCAGGGGCCACAGGACAGAACCCAGCTGGGGCCTGCTCACTGGAAAAGGGGGGGTATGAAATGTGGATGGCTCCCAGCCTGCTTCAGCCCCACAGTCCCTCCCCTACACTATCAAATGTTCTCATCCTGCCTATGCCCTAGCATGGCCCTCAGAACAGTTCTCCAGGCCCTCTGTGACCCTGGGTGGGTGGTGGCTTCTTTCTAGGCTCCTGGTATGGGGGGAGGGGGTACCTCTCCTATGAGTTTTAATTTCTAGCATAGTCCATGTGTAGATGTCCAGGATTTTCGGGCAGAGGGGTAGCTTGGGTGAAAGAGCTCTGCCTTTGAAGTCATAGGTCTGCAGGACAGCCGTGGAATTCCCCAGGCCTTACTTTCCTTGTCTGTGAAAGGCATGTCAAGACCCTTGTGCAAGGGGGTGCGCTGCAAGGTGGAAATGAACCAGTGGGCAAAGGATTAGTAACACTTGCATGCAGTATTCTCCCTTCCCCTCCCTGTGCCTGTGGTACCCTCATTGCTACCAGGCTAGGTGGGTCCTCCATAATATAGGATCAGTTCAGAGCTGTTCAGGGGTTGGATGAAGTGGTATTTGGCACTAGGGCACAGTCCTGAGCAGGAGGGGCAGACAGGCTTCCATTTTGTGTCCACTCAGCCAGAGGGCTGGCCAGAGCCAAAAAGCCTTCAGCCCTGGGCCTATTCACAGCCCCTGCTGGCAGCCCCTCTCCAGGGGAAAAGGAGAACCTGCTCAAACTCTCTACTCTGGTAAAGCTGAGGTGGAGCTGAGGGTGCAGCCAGGCCCATTCAGCCCATTTTCCCCATAAACCTCACCAGAGGGATCCCTAAGATATCCAGAAACAAGGGATCCAGATGAGTTATCCAGGCTACTATACAGATGGGAGGCCTGAGGATAAGGGAAGAGAGATCTCATCCATCCTGGAAGTCACAGATTCTGACCCAGGGTGGGAGTGGGGAGCCCCTCACCCATCTCCCAAAAGCCTCCATTCACAGGCCTCACTGGCTGCCACTTCCTGGGATGCTGGGGCCTTGGCAGGAGCCCCAAGGCTGGCCAGGGTGGCGATGCAGACCAGGCCAGCGTGCGGTGAATACAGAGTATGAGGGCTATTAATTACGCTCTCACTGCGGCCCGAGAGCCACTTGGCACAGCTCTCCTGCCATTCCCAGGCAAGACTTCAAGTCTGAATAAGGGAAAATGGATTGCCTTGCCCATTTAATAATTCATGACAGGATAAGCACAGTGTGTGAGGAGCAGCCTCAGACCAGGCATATCCTGCGTCTCCCTGGAGTCTGCCACCCCTCCCTAGCCAAGCCCTAGGCTAGTTTGCAGAACACCTGCAGCTCCTCATGGGGTCCTTCCCCAGGCCCCAGGCCTGGTCTATGCCACCCTGAACCAGCAGTATGGGTGGGGGGGTGGGAGAGAGTGACCAAGCCATGGCAGGCATCAGGAATGACCTGAACTTGGGGATAAGTCCTGGGGAAGCCCTGGATACCAGTCTGTAGCTGCCTGAGAAGCACACTGTCTGATGAACTAGAGCTCTGCACCAAGAGACCTCCCTAGACTTGTGGTTCCAAATTCTTCCAGGGAATGACCCACAGATAACTAGCAGTTGAAGCTTGGAACTCTGGCACTGGCTAGGAAGGAAGCCACTAGCCCATTCCTTTTCTCATGAGAAACATGGGCCTCAGTCTCCAATAGAGCCCCTTGAACCCCCATAACAGGAACAAATATTGATTTGAAGTACCAGCCAGGTGCTGGGCCCTGAAGGGAGAGCCTGCATCCTCAGTCACGGGGAGTCACTTGGCAGTCAGGCCAAGCACGCCGCTCAGCCCCTAGAGATGACATTGTTCCTACTGTCCTACAGGGATAGGAGAGCTGTCATGGCGCTCAGGAGCATGTTGGTCCTCCCTGGGCCATGGCAGGGGCCATCAGGGAAAACACAGTTGTCACAGCAGAGGATGGGGGACCTGCACTGCCCACTCCAAGCCAGCTTTATGAGGGCCCAGCCTTCCCATGAGGACACAGTGGCCCAGCAGGACTCAGATCCCCTTTCATACTCAAGGAAGCTGCAACTGGGAGAGGACCCCTGCCTGGGCCGGCCAGTGGCTGAGGCCAGCCTGGCGCCTGTCCTCAGGGGATGGGGGAAGACAGAGGCGATTGAGTTAGAGATGACTCATGGAGGGATGTCTGACTTCAGCCATCAATGGGGAGAGATATATCAGTGCCAGGAGCATCGTTTGGCACAGAATAGTCATGTGGCTCCCACTGGGGCTTCCAGGCTGGTGTGGGGCTGGCCTAGAGCCCCCCCAGTCCTGCAGGGGGTCCAGGCCCCAACACAATGAGGACTCCAGGACAGCTCCTCCCTTTCTGGACAACAGGTATGAGTGTCCAGAGCAGGCCCAGGTCCTCCATTCGTGTCAGACACTTTGGGGCAGCCTGAGCACCCCTCAGTGCCTCACAGCTGACTACATGGCACAGAGGGAAGGGTAGACTCAGGGTCTCTGAGGCAGGAAGAAGGCATTGGGGGTCTGTCCTGGGCCATTAGACCAGTGACCCGTGGAGCACTCAGGGACACCTTCCTGGAGGAGGCAAGATTCCAGGTTGTCTCTGAAGGATCTCTTGGTGAGGGGAGGGCATTTTGGTGTGCAAAGTGAACAGAGGCAAGGAGGTTGTTCTTGGGAGGGCAAAGGCTGCCAGGTCTAAGCTTGTTGGGTGTAGAGAGAACACAAAGTCACCCAGGGTGGTCAACCCTGCCACAGACCTCTCCATTCTGCCCTCATGTGGCCTCTTCCACCTGGAACTAACTCCAGGTCCTCAAGGCTTTCCTGGCCAAAGACCTTACATGGAGCCCAGCTGCCCAGGATCTTTCTGGGGAAAGCCCTACAAGCAACTTTGGAGATCTGAGGTCCCAGCCACAAGCCTTTCTGAGACTTCTCACCAAGCCCCATTACTCATGTCCAGATTGATGGTAGTAAGGTGGACACTTCCCTTGCTAGCCCCCTTCTCACTCCCCAAGATCATTTCTAGGGGTGGGCAGCCCAGCTCAAACTCTGTTTCAGGACCCCCATGGATCAGGAGGGCCATGTGGTTGGCATGGTTGGGGCAGAGGCCCCACAAACAAAGTTCAGGAACCACTCTGTCTACCTGCCCAGGGTACTGAGTGCTGCTCTGGGGAGGAAGAGGGGCTGGAGGAGGAGGGGCTGCTGGGACATGAGGATCCACCCTTTGCTCAGGAGCTCTGTCATGAAATGAGGGCTGCACATAGTCTCCCCCATACTAGGGCCTCCTCATAATGCTCTGGTGCAGGTGGAGGATGCCATGTTGGACACCTATGATCTTGTGTATGACCAAGCAGTGAGGAGCCCATCCAGCCTTCAGTGGCAGGAGCTGGCTGCCATCCAGGACACAGTAAGTTGCAGAGAAAAGGGTGGGGTGGTCAGCCTCATTGTGGTCTGGAGAATGGGTACCAATGCCCGCCCCCCAGAGTCAGCCATCTCAGGCCAGATGCTGAAAGAAAGGGTCCCAGGATACAGGCCATGACTGTCCCTTTAAGAGGTGGGAGTAGGGAGAAAGGAACCCCCGGGAACTGCAGGGAACAGGGCTGGCTGCTGAATGTTGGGCCCAACGCAAATAGACCTGTGGGGCCTAAAAAAACCAGGCTATTAAGAATTTCAAGACAGTGAGAACAGCATTTAGAAAAGCAATCATTCCATCCCCCTTACACAGGCCCCATTGTTAAGAGGATTGCCAGCCCCAAGTCCCAAGCAAGGTCGCTCCGGAAATCAGGTTACTCCCCTCCAGGGCTAGGCTGCAGGTGGCTGTGGCAGAATCAGCTTTGATACCCCAAGGGGGCCCAGTTCAGCAGGACCTACCTCGGTCATTCATCCTTCCAGTGCCTCACTTTCCCCCATCTGTCCTGCCCGCTTCTCATGGCTCCCTGCGTCTGTCCTGTAGTTTCTGTGCTGTGGGAAGAGATCTCCTTTTGGACTTGTGGAGAGCCCCGAAGCTGACCTGTGTCAGGGTGAGGAGGCAGCAAGAGAGGTGAGGAGGAGGAGGGGACCAGACCATGGCCAGGCAAGGGCCCTGGGGATGAGCCTGAGATCCAGGGACATCCTGAACCCCTTGGCCTCCCCACCAAGGGACCTGCTACAGAAGCGCTCAGGGAAGGCAGGAAGGTTTCTCATGCATGAAGCCCATGGGTGTCCAGCAGACCTAAATACAAGGTGCAAGCTCCACTCACTCCCCCAACCAGAGGAGAACTACCCTTGGAAACTTCTAGAAGCTCACCAACAGGATCTCAGTGCCAAGAACCCATAGAGCAGGGTGGGCAGCTCTGTCTGGGGAGAAGGGGCAGGCATCCCAAGGAGCCCCAGAAGGAGCAGAACAGCACTCCACAGGAGAGGTGGGGCTGGAGGGGAAGGCCTTGGCCCATACTCCCGAAGCCTGGACCTGGACTCATCCTCCCTCTCTGCTGCTGCTGCCCAGCCCCCTCCTGCACCTCCCCCAAGTCCTGGAAACAAACCCGCCCTATCTCATGGCTCGAGGTGCCTGGCAACCCTCCAAGAAACAGAGGAGGATGGGGATGGCTGGAGGCCCAGCGGGGGAGGGAGCCACAGCACCCGCCCCAAGGCCCAGAGGGGCGGGGTGTGGGGGAGCCCCATCCACCCAGGGCCAGTCCTAGGTCCTGACTACAAAACCAGGGGCAGGGTCTGCCCCATGTACCCCAGAGTGGCAGAGAGACCAGGCTTAAAGGTCCCTGGGGAAAAAGCCAGCACAGGCTGGCGGCCATGGGGATAAGAGGGCAGCTTGCCCGCAGAAGAGCAGAGTGACTCCCTGGGTGTCCATGTGGCCCAGCCCTTCCTCAGCCTACCTGAAATGCCAACAACCTGCCCCCAAAACAAATGATACCATCTTAAGGCTCAGAGATAAGCTGTTACCTCCCTCTTTCTGCCATACCCTGGGGTGGTATTGGAGGACCAGATGGAACCTGCACCTTGAGATATATAGGGGTCACCTTGCCTTCCCACCACTGTTCCCCTGCCCTCCCCATTAGCCAGTACCCTCTAGACACTGAGGTGTTGGTTGGCCTTGGGCTGCCCAGGGGAGCCAGACATGTGGCCTAATGCAGGAGCTTTGGGCATCAGGCAACCTGGGAGGAAGCACCAGCCTGACCCCAGGGCAGTGGCCCCTCTGTCCCTGCAGAGGCTAGCTCCATGCCCCTTAGTTTCACCTATCCATGACACTGCATCCCAGAGCTCCCTGGCATGGGCCTCTGTGCTCTGTTGCTCCTCAGAGGTCACTTGCCTCTGGCAGGGAGGGTCCACAAGGGTGGTGACATGCATGCTGCCCTCTGTCTAGGACTGCCTGCAGAGCATCCAAAGCTTCCTGAGGAACCACCAAAGCATCCTCTCTATGCTAACCAGTGCCAGCCTGGCCCTCACGGTACCCCACGCCCGCCCCCACTGCCCCTGTCCACCTCCTTTCCCTTTGCCCTGGCTTGCCCCCAACCTAATGGAAAGTCAGGGAGGGGAGTCCCCATGCTACAGCCCCAGGCCAGGACCTCTGGCCATCCTCAGGGTTCTCTTAGCCTATGGAACAGGGAGGAGCCGGCCACTGACCCAGGGAGGTGGCCCAGGGTGACAGTGTCTGCCTTAGTCCTTTCCCAAAGCAGCTGGGCCCTTCCCAACTCCAAAAAAACTGCCAGAAACTTCCTAGGATGGAGTGAGACTCCCACCCTGGGGTTGCTGCTGACCATTGAGGCTCTCTGGCCACCTCCCTCCCCAGGTATATTCCATGCTGCTCAGCTCCTTTCTCTGGTTTGCCATCCTCTCCGGCTGCAACTTGGACCGCAAAGGCACATACACGGTGACCCCACGGTAGGCCCTCAGCACCACCCAGCCACTTCCCCCAGAAATCTACAGCCCCATAGTTTCCTATGTGTGCACCTCCCACTGCTGAGGTATCTCCTATGCCCTGGAGGCAAGGCCCTTGGGCCAAGGGCCAAGCTTGTTCTCCAGAGGGACACTTTGGGGTATCTGGCCATACTCAGGGAACAGACCAGCATATACTCCACTCTGCTGCCTCTAGTTCCTGCTTAGACCTGGCCTTACACTTGCCATCCCCAGTGACACCAGCATAGAGAGAGATGAAGGCTTTGGGCCCAAAATTGTAGCTCAGGCCAAGGTCCCTGATTTTGGGGAATGCCAAGGTTCCCTGTGCACAAGACAAGAAGGACCGAGACCTAGAAGGCTGTAAGAACCTTCTGTTCCCATGACTCACAGGCCACTTCACCCACCCCTGGCTGCCTGGGCCCTCCCTGCTCTGGCATCCTGCCTTCCCTCTGTATTCAGAAACAGCTTCACCATTCCTTCAGAACATTCTGTGACAGACTTGCAGTCCCCTCTAGAACATTCTACGGTTGTCTCACGGTCTGTTCTAGAAAGTTCTGTAATAGCTTCATGGTCTGCTCTAGAATGTTCTACAATAGCTCAGTCTACTCTAGAACATTCTACAGCAACCCCACAGACCACTCTAGAACATTCTGAGATAGCCTTGTAATCCCCCCCCCCGCAGAATTCTTTGTTAGCTTTGCAGTCACCTCTAGAGTGGTCTGGAACCCATTCACCATCTTCTCCAAAACATTCTAGAAGAGCCTCAACATCCCCTCTGCTTCTCAGAGCCCATGGCTGCCAGACCCAGGAGCCCAGCCTCTTCAGATGTTCCCAGGGAGAGGCCTGTACCTCAACACTTCTCTGAAGCAGAGACTCTTGCTGACCATTAGAACCCCAGAGAACACTTTGCTGGTCCTCAGTGGCCTGGGGATTGATGTTGTGTTCCTGTCTGCCCACAGAGGTGAAGACACCTACCTAGCAGGCAGTGGCCCTGAAGTGACCAATCCTTAAGGGAGCTATTCTCCACATGGTGGGGAACAGAAAGAGGAGAAGACTCAGCAGACACACGGGCTCCCTATAGAGTAGATGACAGCCAGTGGGGGGAGGGAGACAGGTTGAATAGCAGGGCAGCCAGGGCAAACACAGCACTGGTTAGGATGCTGCCTGATTACTGTCACCATCTGGTATCACCACACTTGTTCTCTGTATTTTGTAACAAATAGCACACATGTGGTGGCTTAGAGCAGCACCCATTCACCCTGTTATGGTTTCTGGTCAGAGTCCAGCTCGGTTGGGCAGGCTCTCAGCTCATGAGGGCAAAATCAAGGGAATAGGAGGACTGGGCCTGATCCAGAGGCTGCTGGAGGAATCTCTTTCTAGGACCACTCTGGCTGTTGGGAGGATCCAGTTTCTTGGAGTTGCAGGCCCTGATGTCACTTGTTATGTGCTGGCTGCCAGTGAGGGTCTCTTTCTGTTCCTTGAAGTCACCCCATTCCTCCCTGAGTTCCCTCCACCTTCAGACCAAAGGGGTAGGCTGAAGTGTCTCTGTGGGAGGTTCAGGTTCTCTGACTTCTGCCAGCTGGAAAAGCTCTCTTCTTGTAAGACCCCATGAAAAGTTCAGGCCCACCCAAATAATCTCTCGATCTGAAGGAGAATCTTTTAAATCATGGTCAAATACACATGACCTAACATTTACCATCATAACCCATTTTTAAGTTCAGGGGAATTAAGCACATTCACACTGTTGTACAGCCACCACCACTGTCCGTCTCCAGAACTTTATCATTTCCCTCAAATCCTAAAACTCCCTAGAGGTTCTCATACGAGTGGAATCCTGCAGGATTTGTCCTTCTGTGACTGGCTTGCTTTACTCGGCATAATGTCCTCCAGAATCATCCAAATTGTAACATATGTCAGAACTTTTGAAAGAGAAATCTTATCACATTTACAATGGTCTCACAGTCACTTGTTCCAAGAGCTTAGAGCAGGGATTTAGAAATCCTGTCTCCCACAGCATTCTCCCTGGACAGTCAAACCACCTCAATGATGAAGTGTCTAGTTCTCTCTGAATGTTTGCACAATTTCCTCAAACTCCTAAGAGCTGGGGACACCATGGTGGCCCGGCCTAGGCTGAGGTCCCAAGACAGTTGACAAGAGCTTCCATGGAGGGAGATGGACCCTTCTCCCACCAGACCAAACAAGGGGTGGGAATTGGGGTTCCCAAACTCAGAACTCTCCTATTATGGGCAGCCACAAAGTGACAAAGGCCCACTATAGCACCCTTGCTTTCCTATTGACACACACACCCTTCCCTCCACCCCAAAACTTCCCAAAGAAAACTCTCACTTCCTATAAAACCCACTGCAGCCAAAAATTGACAGGACTTGTCCCCAAAGGATGATGTCCTGAGTCTCAGATGATGGATGTTCCTCCTCTGGTCATCTCAGTATTCTGCAAACTATGGAATGAATGTTAAGGAAGCAACAGCAACACATCCCATATGTGGAAAGAGAAGAAAGAAAATGAAGTGGAATAAAGTTTAAAATTTATACAGCATAGCACAAAGAGAAATTCCAACAGATGCTATGCTGAGAATACTCATCTCTATAGCTGTCACCATGACACAGCTGCGTTCATGACCTGCCTCCTCCACATGGACTTCATGTTCCCCAACTCTGCCTTCCACCAAAGCTTATCACCAATTTGGTGGGGTCAGGACAGACCCTGGGGCCAACTAAGCCCACCCATGTTGAGCAGCAGCCTCCCTATGTCCTCTTGTTAGGGTCACCTCAACATCACCAAGGGCCCTGTATGTTCTCTTAACTCAGCGGTGAAGGAGCCCAAAGTCGTCAAGTGCACCCTTAACTCCCCACACCATGATATGACAATTTTTTTCTCTAATAGAAACATTTCTTTGTTGGCTACTAAGCTCTCCAACCTGGGAGAGCAGGATCCATCAGGGCCAAGAAGCAAAATTTTTGAGAATGACTCATTAGCTGTAATCATAAGGATTGCTGCCCCTAATTTCATCCCTCAGGCCCCCATCTGTAGGCTCTGGTTTGAGGAATGGCATCACTCTCTGGCTGTGGGTAAGATTGTACTGGTAGAAAACGCCACAACGTTGTGGCAGAACCTCCCACTGTGGTCCTAAATGATGCCTAACAAACCAGCCCAGCGTTCCACAGGGTGGCCTCATTTGAATAACGGGATAAATATCAACCCCAGTGAAACCTATGACAGCTCTCCCTGGTCTTATGTCTGCAAGTGTCAAGCCGATTCCTTGGCCAGAGACGACAGTGTGTGGTGCCGTGATTTCTGTGTTCCCCAGGGTTTCATGTGCTAGAGTTGAATCCCCATTGTGAAAGATGAGGAGGGTGGAAGCTTAATCTGATGTGTTGAGAGGTGAGGCCTTTGGGAGGTGATTAGGATTAGAGAAGGTCACGGGGTGGAGCCCTGGGGCTGGACTCTGGTGCCTTTATGAGAACAGGGAGAGAGACCACATGGATGCACACTCTTGTCCCGTCTCTCCCCATGCAGTGGCCTGCACAGCCCCAGAACTCTCCCAGCAAGGAGGCCATAACCAGATGTGGCTCCTGGTCCTTGCACCTGCAAAATAAACCTCTTTTCTTCAGAAGTATCTTGCTTCAAGTATTTCATTATAGTAATGAATCTTCGGCTAATGGTACTGAGAGCGGAGCCATTACTACACCGTACCTAGAAATGTGAAAGTGACTGTGGAACTGGGTGGCTGGCAGAAGGAAGGGTTTGGGGGGCCAGCTTGGAGTGCTGTGTGTAGTCACTATGGGCATTCTGAGGAGAGCTCAGAGAAAATTTAGGAGATATGGGAAAAGTTAGTTGGCTTAGAGACTGACTGTGGGGAGAAATATGGTGGTAGAAATGGGGACAGTTAAGGTTTCAAATGGAAATGAGGACTCCATTGGAAATTGGACGAAAGGCTGCTCTTAATACATTGTGGCAAAGACCTTAGGTGCAGTGACCATGCCCTGAGACTTGGTGGAAGGCTGAGTTCAAGAATGATGGGCTGGGCAGAGGGCAGGGCCGGAACCATAACAGCCATCCTGGTGTCAACGGCAGCATCCAGGTGCTCTCCTCAGGAGACTAGAGCCGCCTGGGCTCAGCATAGGGAAGGATCTTGCTAATTTGCCCAGGCTGGCCTCTGCTTGTGATCCTTTTGCCTCTGTCTCTCTAGTAGCTGAGATTACAGGTGTGAGCCACCATGCCTGTGCTAAAACAACTCAAAGATGGCAGAAGAAGTGGTAGTAGTAGCCAAATTTGATTATGTGGCGTAACAAGAACAAGAACTGGACATCAAGAAGAATGAGAGACTATGGCTTCTGGATGATTCTAAGTCCTGGTGGTGAGTTAGAAATTCTATGAATAAAACAGGTTTTGTGCCTTCTAACTATGTGGAAAGGAAAAACAGTGCTCAAAAAGCATCTATTGTAAAAAACCTAAAGGATACCTTAGGCATTGGAAAAGTGAAAAGAAAACCTAGTGTTCCAGATTCTACATCCCCTGCTGATGACAGTTTTGTTGACCCAGGGGAATGTCTTTATGACCTCAACATGCCTGCCTATGTGAAATTTAACTACATGGCTGAGAGAGAAGATGAATTATCATGGATAAAAGGAACAAAAGTGATTGTCATGGAGAAATGCAGTGATGGGTGGTGGCGGGGTAGCTACAATGGACAAATTGGATGGTTCCCTTCAAACTATGTAACTGGAGAAGGTGACAGTCCTTTGGGTGACCATGTGGGTTCACTGTCAGAGAAATTAGCAGCAGTTGTCAGTAACCTAAACACTGGGCAAGTGTTGCATGTGGTACAGGCTCTTTACCCATTCAGTTCATCCAATGATGAAGAATTTAAATTTTTTTTTTTTTTTTTTTGGCACTGGGGATCGAACTCGGGTCCTTCTGCTTGCGAGGCAGGTGGTGGCACCACTGAGCTAAATCCCCAGCCGGAAGAATTTAATTTTGAGAAAGGCAATGTAATGGATGTTATTGAAAAGCCAGAAAATGACCCTGAGAAGTGGAAATGCAGGAAGATCAATGGGATGGCTGGTCTGGTGCCAAAAACTATGTTACCATTATGCAGAATAATTCATTAACTTCAGGTTTTGAACCACCACCTCCACGGTGTGATTATATTAGGCCTTCACTCACTGAAAAGTTTGCTCGCAATCCTTGGTATTATGGCAAATTTACGAGGCATCAAGCAGAAATGGCATTAAATGAAAGGGGACAGGAAGGAAATTTTTCTCATCCAGGATAGTGAATCTTTGCCAAATGATTTTTCAGTATCATTAAAAGCACAAGGGAAAAACAAGCATTTTAAAGTCCAACTAAAAGAGACCTTCTACTGCATTGGGCAGTCTAAATTCAGCACCATGGAAGAACTTGTAGAACATTACAAAAAGGCACCCATTTTTACAAGTGAACAAGGAGAAAAGTTATATCTTGTCAAACATTTATCATGATACTGCAAATCAGAAGTGACTGTTAATACAGCTTTATTCCTCATGTAATTGAAGACTGAGAAAATGTTGGTTCAATCCTATTTGATTGGAAATTGCTGTTTCTAACTCTGAATGAGAATTGATTACAATACCTAAGTATTTTTGTTATCACTCAGACCATACATAGATATTATATATGCAATGTATCAGCAAAGAACAATTTCTTATCCTTGGTCTTTTATTTTACAGTTTTCTTCTTTGCTGTTTTTCTCTTTGCTTCTAATATTAAGGTTTTGTATTTTGAGGAAAAAAAATCAAATAATGCAGATCAGAAGTCTGTATGGAAGAATTCCTTTATTGCCTTTCTTGTATTTCCTTCTAAAGGCCCCTGCTAGCTCTGCCACAGTTTCTCTTCATATAAAATTGTATCTATATATGTCATATGCTAAAGTAAATTTCTTGGAAAGTGTTATCTTTTCTGTGACTAAATAGCAATAATAAATGGAAAATTAGAAATTAAAAAAAACGATGGGCTAAGATGGGCATGGTGGTGCATGCCTGTAATCCCAGCAGGAGGATTGCTGTGAGTTCACGGACAGCCTGAACTACATAGTGAGACCTGGCCGGGGATTTAGCTCAGTGGTTCCGGCTCCTTCCGCGCAACCTCAAGGTCCTGAGTTCGATCCCTGGTACCAAAAACAAAAAAACAAACAAAAAAAATCACCTGAGTTGAGTACATAGTGAGACCCTGTCTCAAAAAGAAAGAAAGGAAGAAAGGAAGGAAGGAAGGAAGGAAGGAAGGAAGGAAGAAAGAAAGAAAGACAAAGAAAGAAAGAAAGAAAGATGGACTAAGCCAGTTGTGGTGGTACACTCCTATAATCTCAGCACTCAAGAGCCTGAGGCAGGAGGATTGCAAGTTCAAGGCCAGCCTGGACTATGTTATGAGACCCTATCTCAAAAAACCAAATAAATAAATGAAAGAATGAGATGAAGTTTATTTGTTGAAATAGATTTCAATATGGGAAAGCAGTCAGGATCTGGGATGGGTGTTACCAGCCATTTTCAGAGTTACAGTGAGATTCAGGAGTGAAAGGAGAAAGACGAGAAAGATTTGAAAAATTGGCAGCCTGGGCATAAAGAGCAAGGAAAAAGGGGTATAAGAGTGCAACACAGATCACGCTTACTGAAGAGAATAGTGCACATCAAAGGGAACCAGTGGCTTCGTATCAGGACAGTTGGTGAAAGGCCTCCAGTTATCTCAGAAATCTTTGTGAAAACTCTGCTCTGGGTGACTGGCTGGAGGAGGGCTCGCTATGTTGCCTGTGGGAAGAGGCAGTCACCTTCAGGTTATGGTCAAATTGTATTCCAAATACTGGTCCCAAATTACACATCCACTGTGCATGAGTGCTCTGCTTGGCATATGTCCTTATCCACACATCTAAACATTATGCCAATCTGGTAGGTGTCAAACGGTACTGCATTCCAGTCTTACCTTCTCATTTCCCTGCTTATTAATCAGATTTTTATGTATATAATCCCTATTTTGTGAAACACCTATGTGTGCCTCTTGCCTATTGTTGGATGTATAATATACCTTTTCTCGAGGATGCATGGGGAGCTTTTATGTATTGCTGGGTAGAGATCGTGTGTGTAGTAAATGACTGCTAACCTGTGGCTTGGCTCCTGCTCTCTTTATGGTCACTTTTGATGAACAAATATCCTCAGTTTGTTTTTTGTATTTTTATGACATTTCGGTGTGGAAAAACAGCAGAAGGAATAATGAGCACATGTATACCTACATGTATGGCTACACATACACATGTATACCTACACACACACATGTATGGCTAACTAAGTGGCACTGTGGCCAGGGCAAAGGTGTTTGTCCAACACAAGTCTAAGCCTTGGTATGGGGCTGGTTCCCCATGTGCTAGACACTTGAATCAGTAAGCTGGGAGTAGAGTAAGTTAGCTTGTTAGGTGCCCCCTCCAAAGAGATGAAGAACAAAGAACAAAGACTGAGCTCCTTGTGGAAAAAGGAATTCAGCCTTGAGACCATGATGCAGAAATCCTTTATTTCCAGGCTGTCAGGCTGAACTGGAGAGGTCAGGTTCAAGTAAGTCTGTGTTTGTGTATGGGAATGTATGTGTGAGATACAGATATAGAAATAGAATCAGTATGTTGGTTCTGTTTCTTTGGAGAACCCTAATACACCCATCACCTATATTAAAACAGTGGTAGGCATTTGCCTGGACCTGAGCCCTGCAGTGGCCCCAGGATGAAGGCACCATCCAGGAAGCAGAGAGCAGCCCTCTTCAGACACTGACTCTGCTGGTACCTTGATCTTGACTTCCAACCTCCAGGACTGTGAGAAATTCACTTCTGGGTGTCATAATGACATCCAGTCCCCAGCAAACACCTTCCTCCTGGGTGATGGTCCTTGCCTGGATCCACCTTCTCACCAGATATTGCAAAGTGACACACTTTGGACAGCGTAGCATCTAAAATAGCCCCAAGGATGCCCTCCTGGCCTTGCAGCCACATGCCGCTCCCTCTCTAGAATAAGGCTAGTCCTAGCTTTTCATCTAAAAACAGATCAAGGTAAAGGTGATGGAAGTCACTTCCTGCTCTTCGCATAGGCTGAAAAACAACACTGACTCCATCTCTCCATCCTTTTTTGCACCCTGCTGGAAATCAGTTGCCATTATCAAGGGCAGCCCTGTAGGGATGCCCAGGTAGCCACCAGCTGGAGAGAAACTGAGGCCCCAGAAGGAACTGAATCATGCCTTGTCACTAAGAGGGCATGGAAGTGGGTCCTTCCAGTGAACCCACAGCCCTGGCCACTGAGGGTGGCCTCAAAAGAGACCCTTTGCCAGAGGATTTGGTACTAAGCCATGCTCCAATTTCTGCCCCAAAGAAACTTTGAGACAGCAGATGCTGCTGTTTTTTTGGTTTTTTACCACAGCACTGTTAGTTTCTGATATTATATACATCCTGTTTTGATGAAACTACCAAAGACAAAATATGGTTTTAAAAGCTGTAGTTTTTAGCCATGCATGGTGGTACATGCCTGTGATCCCAGGATTTGGGAGGCTGAGGCAGGAGGACTGCCGAGAGTTCAAGGCCAGCCTGGGGTACATAGTGAGTTCAAGGTCAGCCTGAACTGCATAGTGAGCCCTTGTCTCCAAAGGAAAAAAAAAAGAAAGAAAAGAAAAACAAAACAATTTTATTTATTTATTTTTTGGTACCGGGCATGGAACTCGGGTCCTTCTGCTTGCAGAGCAGGCAGTGGAACCACTGAGCTAAATCCCCAGCCCAAACAAAACAATTTTAGTACCAAACTTTAACCTTATGAGAATACTATTTACAAAATCTCTAAATTATATTCTAAAATGAAAAAAGATACAGAAATTTGTATTTACTTTCAACATGACCATTAAGAATAGTTAAGTAAGACACACCAATACACGAATGAGCAATGAATGTAACAGGGAATTTGCTGAAAAAGAGCAAATGGCTAATAAACATGGAAAGGTGCCCAGCTTGAATATGAATGAGG